TATGGCCTAATCCTGGTTTAGGCTAAACCCTGTCTATGAAACCGGGCCTTAGTCGACTAAAACTCGACTAAAACTAAATAGGATAAGGTTGACTAAATATGATAAAAACTACCAAGGACATTTAACACGGGACTAAGACTAAGACTAAAATTGAAAATAGCTGACCAAATTAACATGATTGGCCAGCTATCCAGTGCGTTGTGATTGGCTAAACACCTCAAGCATGTGACGGAAATGTTACGCCCCTTACCATATTTGGGGGCGTGTTTTAGGAAGTCTTGGATGAGTCTTAACTTTTATAAAGAATATCTCTTTGGCCTTGAGACTTTGTGACTTTACGGATTTTATCTATGCACGAACAGTAACACTCCAAAGATAAAGGAAGACTTGAAATCACGTCATGTGACCCGACCCCTTTAAGGGCCGTTTACAGTAAGAATGATAGCGATAACTGTACGTTTTAACAATCGTCAGGACAACAGCAGTAAGTCCACAGCACAACTATAACAACAACAACACTTTCAGAATGTTTTTTTTTTCCAGCTGATGAACGATAAAAACTTCGGCAACCAATCAGAATTCGTCGGACTTTAAAGAGTTCGTAAATTTAAAGCAGTAGATTACAAAACTGCTGCTCTTAGTATAAAGAGAAAGTTATCGTCCTTTGGTGTGGACGCTAATATAGAAATCGTTATGAATATCATTATAGCTATCGTTCTGGGTCTTAATGAAAACAACACCGAGGAACGATATCGTTGGAGTCACTTTCAGAACGTTTTTTCTAGTTGATGTACGATAAAAACTTCGACAGTCAATCAGAATCCACCGACTTTAAAGAGCTCTAGCATTTAAAGCGACAGGCGACAAAACTGCAGCACGCTATAATAAACAGAATTATTTAGTTTGTTGGTGTGGAAATTAATATAGTTATCTGTATAGTTATCGTCTATTTGTGTGAATGGGCCTTAACCATAACGAGAAACGTTATCGTTGGAATCGCTTTCAGAATGTTTTTTTTTTTTTTTCAGCTGATGAACGATAAAAACTTCGACAACCAATCAGAATTCGTCGATTAAAGAGATAATAACCAATAAAGAGAAAGTTATCGTCCTTTGGTGTGGACGCTAATATAGAAATCGTTATGAATATCATTATAGCTATCGTTCTGGGTCTTAACGAAAACAAAACAGAGGAACGATATCGTTGGAGTCACTTTCAGAACGTTTTTTCTAGTTGATGTACGATAAAAAGTTTGACAGCCAATCAGAATCCACCGACTTTAAAGAGCTCTAGCATTTAAAGCGACAGGCGACAAAACTGCAGCACGCTTATAGTAAGCAGAACATTATCGCTCGCTGGTGTGGACACTAATATAGTTTTTGTTACAGTTATCATACTTGGTGTGAACAGGCTTTAATGACAATGACAGAGTAACGATATTGGAATCACTTTCAGAGCGATTTTATTTTTAGCTGATGAAGAATGGAAACACTGACAGCCAATCAGAATCCACGACTTTATCGTAAGGATTAGGGGTGTATTTGTACCGAAAATGTTTGGTAGTGGTCTATATAGTTAAAATAGTTATTCCTTCCTATCACCATGTCCATTTAAGGGCTCTGTATTTATGAGTTTTGAGAACATGTTTAATATCCAAAGTCATTTAAGCATCGCTAAATGCGTGTCACATTAGATGCTTGACTGATTGCGTTTTGTTTGGTCCTACTGCGTGGCTGCTGATGTTTGTGGTTCCTGATTTGAGGGTTTTAAAGTGCTGAGCCACCTTTACTTTGGCAGTGTGATGGTGCACAAAAGCCAGTTGTTGCTCTTCTATATTTAGGTGTGAGTTGAGTGCGTTTGTATTTTTAGTGAGTTGAGTGGTTGGAAAGGTGACGCTCTGGGTTTCTCGAGGCCCTGATGAGTGTTTTCACGCCGTAGTGCTTACTGTCACAGACCCAGAGGAAATACCTCAGTCACACACACACACACACACACACACACACACACACCAGCGCTTGTGCATCTCGAAACACACTCACACGAGCGCATGAGTTATTCCTGCATTGTTCACGCACGTGAAGCGTGTGTTTGTTGGGTGAACGGCTGGAGTGTGTTTTGTGTGAAGCATGTTTCTGGCCTTCGTGTTTATTTTCCCCGTCATTCTGTCGCTCTCTCTGAGTTTAAGGCTGCATTAGTGCAGGAATAGAGGCAGCATTCATGAAGGAGGGGAGTTAGAAAGAAAGCAGAACGGCAGAGAAAAAAAAAAACTGAGCTGTGGAGAAGTGCGTGTGTGTGTGATTCTTATCATCAAGTGTGTTTCAAACTCGTATCACACTGATGTGGTGTCGTGGATCACAGATCAGATAGCTGATCACACACACACACACAAACAAACACACGCACGCAAACACAAACAAACACACTCTCTCTCTCTCTCTCTCTCTCTCACACACACATACACACAAAACACACGCAAACACACAATCTCTCACACACACTCACACACTCTCTCTCTCACACACTCACTCACACACACGCACACTATCTCACACACACTCACACACACTCTCTCTCACACACTCTCTCTCACACACTCTCTCTCACACACTCTCTCTCACACACTCTCTGCTTCAATATGATTTCACAATTAATTGGTTCCTTAATAAATAAATATTTTTAAATGAAAAAAAAAACATTTTTTATTATCTTTCAAAAGTTTGGAGTAATATTTTACGGAAATTATTACTTTTATTCATCAAGGCTGCATTAAATTGATCAAAAGTGACAGTTACAGACATTTCTAATGTTACTGTAGATTTCTATTTCAAATAAATGCTGTTCTTTTGAACTTTCTATTCATCTGTGAATCCTGAAAAATAAAATGTA